TGCAAGTACTCCTCTGATCTCTCACTCACCGTGACATGAAGACCCAGATTTAAACCCCTGCACCCACATGGCAGCTCACAGCCATCTGTAACTCCAGTTTCCTGGAATCCTCTATTTCTCTAAGGGTACTGCATACAGGTGGTCCATGAATATACATTCAGGCAAAAACCCTCATACAAATAAGTCAAAACCTCCAAAAAATTCTTTTAAACTACTACTGCAAATAATAATAGTGAAGGAAATCCAAGGGAAGAAAGCAAACAAGGAAAGAAGGTCAACACCACATCAGGCAGGTGTGGGGCACACATCTGTCATCCCAGGACAGGATGAGGTAGGAGAATGTTAAGTTCCAAGATCACCCAGAAAACAAACAAAACTTGCTGGGTAGCTAAGTGCTTGCCTGACATGTAAGAGGCCCAATTCAATAGAGAAATTAACACAGAAATATGGAAAACTTTGAAGCCCCCTGAGGTGGGTTCAGGGCCTCTTCCTTCCTTTCCCACCTTGACAGTTCTTTGACAGCAGCTGCCTCCAGGGGCCACCTGGCTCCAGGCTCTGTGCCTGCCCCTCTCTCCCCTGCACTTAGCTCCAAGAGTCACAGAAGCATGGGTTCCTAAAGGTCATTTGATCCATTTCTTCTTCCTCTACAGGAAAGGGCTGTTACACTTCTGGCCCCAGGGCCAGGGTAGAGCCTGGGCCTTGAATCCCCACTCCAGCCAGGAACCAGAGACCTTTCCATTAGAACTCATAACACTCCTGTTTTGGAGATTCTTCTTCAAGGCAGCTCAGAGGCCATATTGTTATCTTTGCCTATTCTTTTATCAGTTACCATTGGCACCCCACACTCCACTCCCATTCTCCCCTCTATACTCCCCACTTTGAGATAGGGTCTCATGTATACCAGGCTGTCCTTATATTCTCTGTGTAGCTGAGGATGGCCCTTTGGACCCTCCAGTCTTTGTTTCCCACGTGCTAGGATTACACACAGGCTGGTATCACCACACCTAATCTATTGGATAGACAAGCTCTCTACTACATTCCTCAGCCCTGTTGTTAACCTCTTAGTATGTCTAACTTATAACTTACAAGTATCCTAGCTATATATGGACAGGAGAACAACAAGTATATGTGGCTGTTAGTACTATTTCAAGTACTATCTGTGGTTTCAGGAACCTGCTGAGGAAGCCAAATATGTTCATGACTAAAATCCCCAAATCTGAGAGGTTGAAACAGGGTTATAAAAGAACTCTTTACAAGACAAAAGCATGATGGTTTGTTGAGTAACAGTGGCTGCTGCTAATCTGACTACCTGAGTTTAATCCCAGGAACTCCCATAGTGGAAGAAGGGAACCAACTCCTGTGAGCATTTACTCGTAGACAGTATACACAACATAAATAAATGTGAATTTTTTAAAAAGGTGGGTGGTGCCCAAGGGACATTCTGGCTTCTATACATACATGAACATGCACACGTGCACACACATACACAAAATCAGTGAGAAAACAATAAAGGGAGCTCCTGGGGGCAGGAGTTAGAACATAGTCCCCATAGATAAGGGGAGGTAGTTAATAGAAATTTGAATCCATTACTTCTTTTTCTTTCATTATGGTGCTGGGAAATCTAACCCAGGCCTTATGCCCTTGAGGCAAGCTCTCTACCATAGGTGAAAGATCCACGTCCTAGCTAGACCTTTTCTGAAGCTGGAGGAACAACCTGGAAAGCCAGAGCAGGTTTGCTTCGAAGCCTTGTGGTAGATATGCTGGGGTGGTAAATTTCTCGTATGATTATAGGTGTGCAGCAGGAGACGTGCAACTTTCGTAATTTTAAAGAACAGAGTTGTGTGCTTAATCCGTCTGAGACTGCTCATGGCCAAGCCAACAATTTAGTAAGTAGACACACAGCAAAGAACAGGTCAGCATTTGGCTGTGAAGACTTTCCAGTTCCCAGCAAGTCAGTTGTGGGTCACTGAGTCGACAGCGCCCCCTGCAGGAAAACACTTAGCAAGTTTATTGTAAACTACAATTTCTGTAGCAGCAAACACTGGATATCCACATCCCCTGCCTCTCCGGTTTTGCTTTTGACTGTATTGTGTGTTCTATCCTTGCGTCCCATAACGCACAGTTCTCTAGAAGGCAATATCTGAGTTCACAGAGCCCATGATTCCCCAGGCCAGAGTTGTGCTTTCCATAGCTGGGCAGACATGGTTAGCACCAGAACCCTGCCTTATCATGTTCCACAGGAGTCTCAGCCAGTGAAGAGTCCTGACTGGATTACATGCAAGTAACAACAGGATAGGTCTCAGATGTGATGACGATGCAGTCAGAGATGGGAAAAAGCTGCCTCAACCTGACCGTGAGAGGCTGTGTGGGGACCTGGCAGCCAGGGTGTTAGGTTAACTGGATACCTCATGTAACTGCTGTGGTTATCTAGCAAGGCAGCTATGATCCCCACAATGTACCTGAAGAGCAAAGACCAGTTCAGTGGCTGGTCCGGTGACTCAGTGGGTCAGGAAGAGCCACAGTGGTTGCCTAGGTCTGCCTGGCTTTTGTTTTGCTTCCTGATGGATTTTTGTGGTATGCCCATACAGGCTAAGCTGTCCAGGCCTTTCGAAGCAGAGTGGATATCGAATCTGCTCAGTCTTTTTCTTACTTGGAGGCTGTCCATCACCAAATCCTAGCTTTGTTTCTGGGAAATGGATAAACATGTGTTACATTTGGTTGTCATAGCTCTGTCTGTTTCTCTGTGTAGTTTTGGCTGTCCTGGAACTCTCTACAGACTAAGCTGCCTTCCAACTCAGAGATCCACCTGCCTCTGCCTCCTGAGTGCTGGGATTAAAGGTGTGCACCACCACTAGGTATGAAGATGCTTTTATGCAGTTTATGTTATATTCTGTTATTCAAGAATGGATCCATGGCTAGAGATGGCTCAGAATTAAGAGCACTGGCTTCTCTTCCAGAGGACCCACATTTTTCCTAGCATCTTCAAGGAGGCTTGCAATTGTTTGTAACTCCAGTCCCAGGGGAATAGACGCTCTTTTGGCCTCTGTGGGCACCATGCATGCACACAGTACATAGACATACATACAGACAAAAGCACCACATGCAAAAAAAATAATCCTGACGGAAAACAAAATGAAGTTTAAAAGTTTTGAATGATGCTGAGGCTTCTCACTGTGGCTCAGGCTAGTCTTAAATTCAAACATTCCTACTAACCTGTCTTAGCCTCTCAAGAAGCTGGAACTACAGGCACTGCCCTGACAGCTCCAGACCTAAGTTTGTCAAATGGTACTGTCAAGTACTTATCCTTTCTCTGATTTCCTCTTAAAAATGTCTAGTGGTTCCTACTTGTCACAAGAAAGAATCCACTACACCACCAAAACAGTATGTATTACAAGTAAATGATGCTTTTTGTTAGAAAAAAAAATTTTTTTGAAGTATTAGGGGACAGAACCCAGGGTCTCATGCATGACTAGTAGACAAGTATTTGACCACTTAGCCAATTCTTGTACTTTGTTTTGTTTTTTGTTTGTTGTTTTTTGCAGACAAAGTTTCTCTGTGTAGCCCTGGCTGTTATAGAACTCACTTTGTAGACCAGGCTAGCCTTGAACTCACAGATCCTCCTACCTCTGCCTCTGGAGTGCTGGGATTAAAGGTATGTACCAACACGCTGGCTCAAGTCCTTTTTTAAAATTTCTCTTTTCCTTTAAACATTTTTATTGTTGGGACTGGAGAGATGGCTCAGCAGTTAAGAGCACTGACTGCTCTTCCAGAAGTCCTGAGTTCAGTTCCCAGCACAACCATCTGTAATGGGTTCTGATGCCCTCTTCTGGTGTGTCTGAAGACAGCGACAGTGTACTCACATACATAAAATAAATCCTTAAAAAAAAATTTTTTTTAATTATTTTGTTGTTTTCCAAGACAGGGTTTCTTTGTGTAGTCTTGGCTGTCCCAGTACTTACTCTGTAGACCAGCTGGACTCAACTTGCTGAGATCCGACTACCTCTGCCTTCCAGGTATGTGCCAAAGCCCAGTAAATTATGCTAAATGTTTATATGTATGAGCATCTGGTCTGTTGGCATATATGTATGTGTGTCTGGTGGTCAAAGAGTACAGAAGAGGATCTCAGACCTGGAACTGAAGTTATAGATGGTTACGAACCATCATGCTGGTGCTGGGACTCAAAACAACCAAGTCCTCTTATAAAGCAACAAGTGCTCTTTACCACCACTGAGCCATCCTTCCCTCCCTCCCTCCCTCCCTCCCTCCCTCCCTCCCTCCCTCCCTCCATTTATCTACCTACCTACTTATTTATTTTCATTTTGGTGGTTTTTTGAGACAGGATCTCACTATGTAGCCCTGACTAGTCTGGAACTATGTAGCCAGGCTGGCCTTGAATTAGCAGATATCTACCTGCCTCTGCATCTGAAGTGCTGGGATTAAAGTCGTGTACACTAAGCCTAGCTTACTTTTTTGGGGGTGGGAGGACAGGGTCTTTCTACATACCTCTGAATGTCCTGGAACTCATTATACATACCAGTCAGAACTCAGAGATCCACCTGTGTCCGCCTCCTGAGCGCTGAGCTTACTTTTAACTGTGTATATTGGCGTGTGTCTGCACATGGATATGTGCAGCACAGTGCATTGACTGTGGAGGCAGAGAGGGTGCTGGAGTTACAGAGGGTTGTAACCTGCCTGATGTGAGTGCAGAACCCCGACCTGGGTGCTCAGGAAGAACAGAACACGTTCTTAACCACAGAGCCATCCCCAGCATTAGTTTTTGAATTTTTACATGATAAGATAAATGTTATCTCAGTAAGGGGCTGGAGAGGTGCTTTAGTGGTTTGACACAGTTCTTGCAGGTTTGTTTGGCAACACCCACATGAGTGGGTCATAATCATCAGTAGGCCCAATTCCTGGGGATCCCATGCCCTCTTCTGATCTCAAGTACCAGTCATAAAGATGGTATATATATATGTATGCAAGAAAAGCATTCTCACACATAAAAGGAATCTAAGATTGTTTTAATTAGCTCAATAAGTAAAGTTATAGGCTTATTAATTTTTGAAATAAAATATTAAATTTGTGATAATTGTTCACAGGTAAATACTAATAGTGATAGCATGAAAAGATGAGATTTTTAAATAGAGCAATTTCACGATATACAGGTAAGCTGAGACACGTAGTTTGCAATATACACACTTCTGAGCGAACCGAACTGTGATTCTGAAATTTTCTGCATTTAGCTTATAAGATGTTTCTTCCCAAGAAACTGAACTTTTCTTTCGAACGCACTTGATCGAATAGGAGAATTGGGTTCGTAAAAGGGATTCATGGCAAACTTGATATATAAGTCGTAGACGTCAGTGAAGAAGTTCTTGATTCCATCTTCTTGCCTTACGTCGTGAAGCATGATGAACCGCATGTGCCCAGCGGTGACAAACGCCGAGACGAACCACTCATTGAATTTGTCCACAGTTTTTAAGTACATGTTGTTGGAGAGCCACATGTTCTCATCAACGAGGTCCAGAGCGGCATGAGCTATGAACTGGTTCAGATGACGATGCTCATCTTTGGATTCTGCTTTCCCGGCTGGCAAAAATTCCATTTCAAAAACTGGATTATCATGGTGGCCAACAATTACGAAGTAGAAGCTTCCAGACATTATCTTCGGTCTATGTACAGCTCCTGGAGTCAGACACCAACATACGAAACACCAAGTCAGCTCGTGAAATTCTTATTTTTGAGACAGGGCCTCACTCTAAAGGCCAGGTTAGCACTGAGATCCCAATGCTGTCTACCTTAGCCTCAGAACTGCTGGTATTACAGGCATTAGCCAGCACACCTAGCTATATTTATTACAATTTTACCCTTCCCCCACTGATTTAAAATGTTGTATCTATCATACATTAAATTTGGATATATATTTCCCATATCTTTGGGGGGTTTTTTTGTTCTATTTATGAAACAAGGGGAGCTGTTTATCATTTAGATAATTTCAGTTGGTTCAGAAAATGAATTTGACAAAAACCTACAATCCTTCCATTGATTAAAAACAAAAATACAGTGGGCAGTGGTGGCGCACGCCTTTAATCCCAGCACTTGGGAGGCAGAGGCAGGCGGATTTCTGAGTTCGAGGCCAGTCTGGTCTACAGACTGAGTTCCAGGACAGCCAGGGCTACACAGAGAGACCCTGTCTCAAAAAACCAAAAAAAAAAAAAACACCAAAGAGAGGGAATTTCCTTAATTTGAAAAAGTACATCACCATCAACAAATCCAAAATACTTTTACAGTTAATGTCAAAGACTACCAGGGCAGTCAGTGGTAGCTCACACCTAATCCCAGCACTGGGAGACCTGGGCAGGAACTCTCAGGGACTTGTGGCCACCACCTAGGCCAGCCTGGGCTATAGTCTGAGATGCTGTCTCTAAAAACAAAACCCCAAAAAGTTAAACAACAACATCCTACAAGCTAAAAAGTGTTTCTTCTTCTTCTTCTTTTTTTTTTTGTTTGTGTTTTTGAGACAGGGTTTCTCTGTGTAGCCCTAGCTGTCCTGGAACTCACTCTGTAGACCAGGCTGGCCTCGAAAAATGTTTTTCTTCTTAAAACCAGAAACAAGGAAAGATCACACCTTCATCTTTTGGATAAAATAAAGTGTTGGAATACAGGAGAGTATTCTCTTATAAAGAACTCTTATAAAGGAAACGTTTCACTGGGGTTCGCTTACAGGTTTAGAGGTTTAGCCCATTATCAGCCTGGTGGAAAAGAGTTGCTGAAGTTGCTTCTGCCATTTCTATTTAGTACTGTACTGGAGATGTCAGGCAGGGAAATAAAGTTAATGGAAAGAAAAAAAACCAAACAAACGAAACACTAGACGGGGGTGGTGGTGGCAGAGCACGCCTTTAGCCTCAGCACCGGGGAGGCAGAGGCAGGCAAATTTCTGTGAGTTCAAGGCCAGTCTGATCTACGGAGCTAGTTCTAGGACAGCCAGGGCTACACAGAGAAACCCTGTCTCGAACCCCCCCCCCCAAAAAAAAACAAAACAAAAAAGAAAAAGTATTCAGACTATAAAGTCCAAACTGTTTGAAGATGACATAATCTTATAACATAAAATGAACTATGAATCACTTATAGACAGACTCAGCAAGGTAATAGGAAACAATATGAATATAGAAACAGATGGGTTTCTATAGACTAGCAACTAGTCCCGGAGTGGTAAGAAAACAAAAACAATCCCCCCCACAAAAAAAAACAGGATAAGGGGCTATCATTTAAGAGACACGTCATAAAGTAAAAATTATAGTCTTAGGAATTTAAAAAAGGCTTTCAGTGGAGGTCTCTGTGGTTAAGAGCACTGGTTTCTTTTGCAGAGGACCTAGGTTTCTACTGAAAATCAATGAAGAGTGAAAGAATCTCACCCATTCTTGAAAATGTGTAAATAAATGATGGCTGCTGGTTCGGGGGACTTGTTTTTCCTCAGTGGTGTAGTCACCATCAAATTGTGTGTGCTCTATAAACCCCTACCCATAAATACTCACATAAATACCCTAAATTCACTAGGTACACATAGGCAGGCCCGCATTTGCACCTGCCCGCATGCACACAAAGTTAGTGGGTAAAGGAACTTGCCATGTATGGATAATGACCTGAGATCAATTCCAGAACTCACATAGTGGTGGAAGGAGAAGCCAGGCTTGGCGGCACATGTCTTTAATCCCAGAACTCAGTAGGCAGAGGCAAGAGGATCTGTGAATTCAAAGCTAACTTGGTCTACAAAGCAAGTTCCAGGACAGTCAGGGCTACAGAAAGAGACCTTGTATCAACCACAAGAAGAAAGAAGGAGGAGGAGGGGGAGGGAACCGACTTCACAAAGTTGCCCTCAGCTCTTACACACACACCATATAGCATGCAGGCACTCCCACTGATGTATCATATACATCCATAAGAATAATTTTTAAAAATGCATACATATAAAAATAGAAGGGAAAGGAGGTTCACTGGGTGTGGAATGAGTGGGTAATGAGGGCTGAAAAGCACGTTAGAACACATGGATTTAACTGCTAAAGGGTAATAACTAAAGAAAGTATGATGATGTCATCCATGCTTCAGGACTATTTAAGATGGCAATACTTCTTGTTTTTTGTTTTTTTGTTTTTTCGAGACAGGGTTTCTCTGTGTAGCCCTGGCTGTCCTGGAACTCACTCTGTAGACCAGGCTGGCCTCGAACTCAGAAATCCGCCTGTCTCTGCCTCCCAAGTGCTGGGATTAAAGGCGTGCGCCACCACTGCCCGGCAAGATGGCAATACTTCTACTGACCCACAGATTCATTTACTACACAATGACAAAGTCCATTAAATAAACCCGTGCATTTTGCCATTTGATTTTGTTATTTCTTATGAAGCCGATACTGGCCTGCAACTATCAGATAATGGCTTGAATTCCTTACCCTATCTCCCCCTTTCCAGTGCTGGGATTATTTACTCTGGTCCTCTTTATTAACTTTATTTCCGGTACTGGGGATCAAATCCAAAACCCCCGGGTGCTAGGCAAGGGCTCCACCACTGAACCACAAGTCCTAAGTAAAACCGAAAGTACACACTCATTAAAGTGATTAAACTGTATGTTTCCGGCCTCCCCATGGACGGCTCCCACTCTTCCCGGCTCTAGCTCTGGATTTTTTGTTTTGGGACAGGGTTTTGCTGTCGCAAAGAACTTGAGGCGACCCCCCTCCCCGGGCTCCTAAGTGCTGGGATCACAGGCGAGCGCCACCCTGTCCAGTGCGGGATTCTGACAACTATAAATACCTCACATAAGTCGACTTCCCTCTAGTTCAGGAGAAGACGTGTTCAAGGTAGAGAACAGGTCAACCGACCATTACCCAAACTCAACGTCCACCTCACCGGGTAGCTCCGCCCTACGAATGGCTGAGAGTGCGACTGAGCATGCGTACACGTTCCCGCCTCTCAGGGAAAGACTGGGCGGCCCGCCCCGGCTGCCGACTTGACTCAGAGTGACGGAAGACTGAGCGTGCTCAGTAACGCGCTAAACCTGTCGCCTCGCCCGGCTCTGGCCGCCATCTTGGAACAGGGCATCTCGGGGGACCGAGCATGCGCAATGCGTCGCTGGCCAAGGCTGCTGGAAGGGCTTTGGCCACCATCTCGGGTGAAGGCGTTGTGGGACGTCGGGTCCCCGCGGGCTTCGTCTGGCTCTTAAGGCAGTCCTTGCCTTCACCGCATGCATACTTGCTTATGTTGTCACTGATGTTCGCCTACAGGTGTAGAGAACCGGAGCCTGGCGTGAGATGTGGACGAGACATGCTAAGTGAGGCGGAGCTTTTAACTACAAGAATGCCAGAAAGCAAAATGGAGGTTGAAGCGCCAGACGCTTGTGTCCAGTGTACGGGCTTTATTCGTGGGCGGAAATGCGTAATAGGAGGGTGGTTTAGGGAACAAATCACTGGGGTGTTTGTTTAGTGCTATTATCATCAAGGACTCTGCTTTTACAAGTTTATGTCCGGGTTCTTCACAGATTTTCCTTATGTGTTTATTACAAATGAGGCTTATCTGGTGATGGCGTTCTGTATCCCTTCTTCCCCTAAACAGACATTTACAAAGCTGCTTTGGCTAAAAATCATTGACTTCTTTCTTGGGCCACAGGATGACTAAAGATGAAGTTTGGCATTCTTGCTTTCATTTTGTGTCTGCTAGAAGCGTAAACAAAGCAAAGTAGCTCTACAAGGCACGTTCTATTTGTAAAAAGGTCATGTCAGGATCCAAACCATGGTGTCTTTTTCCCCAGTGGTGTGTGTGGGGAGGTTGAGGGGAGGGGTTCAACCTTTATGATTGGCTAGTTTTGAAAGAATAAGCTCAAAGGGATGGGGTTAAAGGTCTGTATTCGGGCTGGAGAGATGGCTCAGTGGTTAAGAGCTCTTCCAGAGGTCCTGAGTTCAATTCCCAGCAACCACATGGTGGCTCACAACCATCTGTAATGGAGATTCAATACCCTCTTCTGGTGTGTCTCAAGATAGTGACAGTGTACTCACATTCTTAAAATAAATAAATCTTAAAAAAAAATAAAGGTCTGTATTTGAGGCAGCAGGGAATTCAGGAGGGAGAAAGGATGTGGTTTATAAACAAAACAAAACTTTCCTAGGTGGAGATTTTTTTGTGCCTTTTTTTTTGTTGTTTTTGTTTCTTTTTTTCTTTTTCTTGTTTTTAGTGAAACAGCGTACTTTTATTGGGGGTAGTGGAGAAAATTTATGGAATATTGGCCCATGGCAGGCTACTCACCTTTGATAGAAAAACAACAAAAGTAATTTCTCACATTTTCTTTGTTTTGGTCAGATAACTGCCCAGTTCTACATAAGCAACATGTTCATGTACCCATTTCATCACCCTTCAAAGTTGAAGGAACAAAAAAGTCATTGTCTTAAACCTGTGGTCACCCTGATAGGGATGGTAGTTAGGGAGAAAGGGAATAAAATGCCTGCTACAAGAAGTCTTCAGGTATCATTTCAGCCATAGAAGTATGAACATGTTTGTGTAGCAGCTCACAAATTTCCATTGCTGACCCTGGCTGCTTTCCTGACTTTCAATTCAGAAAACTAAACCTGGATGTCTGTGTGTGTGTGTACTTTTGTGTCGTGTTTGTGTGTTAGAACACTTTTCTGGTTTGTATACATGTGTGGAGGCCAGAAGTGGAAGTCACATGCCATCCTGTATCACTCTTTATCTTTGCTTTTTGAGACAGTCTCCCTGTGTCGCCCTGATTTGCTTTAAACTTATGCCTAGCTTGAGAGTTTTACAGAAAGTTCTAAAAATAGTGTGTTTGAGATGCTCAGAAGTAAGTAGATTGTATGCACTAAAAACATTGAGCTGGGTGGTGGTGGCACTTGAGAGGCAGAGGCAGTTGGATTTTGAGTTCAATGCCATCTGGCCTACAGAGTTCCAGAGTAGCTAGGGCTGCTGAGAGAAACCCTGTCTTGAAAAAACAAAACAACATCAACAAAAACATTGAGCAAAATAAAAAGTGAATTAAAAACATAAGGCTATTAAAAATCAATCTTTTGTTTTGTTTTGTTTTTTTTGTTTTTTCGAGACAGGGTTTCTCTGTAGCCCTGGCTGTCCTGGAACTCACTCTGTAGACCAGGCTGGCCTCGAACTCAGAAATCCGCCTGCCTCTGCCTCCCAAGTGCTGGGATTAAAAGCGTGCTCCACCACTGCCTGGCTAAAATCAATCTGGAAGATATAAAATATATAGCCATACAAGTATAAAATTAATAAAGTCCAGTTTAGGCAAAGACAAGAATGGAAGAAAACAGCGCTAAGTATGGTGGCTCATACCTTTAATCCAGCATTCAAAAAGGAGAGCCAGGTGAATCTCTGTGAGTTCAAAGCCAGTGTGGTCTACAAAGTGAGTTTCAGGCTAGCCAAGGCTACATAGTAAGACCCTGTCTTTCTTTCTTTTTTTTTTTTTTTTTTTTTGGTTTTTGGGGTCGGGGTTTTAATCTAGGCCCCGGGGGATCCCGGAACTAACACTTTAGACCAGGCTGGCCTAGA